GTTAGACCCACTTCCGATATTGGCTACAAGGTGGTGACCACATTCACATCTGAGTCTCTTTCCCACTCTGGTGGGGAGCTCCAGGGTGTGCCTTTAGCTTTGGCTATTTGTGAACTTTGAGTAATTGACTGGCTCTCTACTCTAAATCCAAAAAATTCGTTTTTACCTATGAGCTCTTCTTTTTTCATACCCCAAAGTTTTTATTCTAGTGAGAAGTTATGAGCATCCCCTTATCAGTTCCCAGGGATGTCATTTTGTAATTTCTTTTTTGCTTCTCCACCTCCAGGCTGCGGACTCTAAGAGGTAGGCTTCCAATGTGCCCTCTTTAACTCGGAGACACTGCTGTGACACAGGTCGACAAAGCCGGGCAGGCCACTGGTTGGCTGCCTGGAGAATCAGCACCTGCAGGGCAGGTGTGGAGGGGGCTGTTGAATGCTATCTGAGCAAGTCCTAACTGCAAAGAAATTATCATTTATAATTTTGCCAGTTTTTAATTCCTGCTTTGAGCACATTGTAGGAATGAAGGTGTGGGGATTCCGAACCCTTGTCATTTGGCCCTGAAGTGCAGTAGGGGAGCCAGCAATGGCCCTGAGGTGTTGAGGAGACACATTTCTCCCTCCGCACATCTCCCCAGGAGAATCCTTCCACTCTGCTACTCTGCTTTACCTGCCTCTTTCCCAGGGAAGGCTGCATATGTCCTGAGGGTGGGAGCCCGGTGTCCCTCGGGTCAGGTGCATATTGACTCGAGAAGCAGAATCACTGCATTGGAAAGGTGATGCTGGCCACCTCTTTTTCTCTTGGCTCTTGTTATCTTGACAACCTTATATTCAAGGGACAGCACACCTGCCTTGGGTCTTCAGAAGCTATAGATACACAGACCAGGGCACAGTTTTGCAAAGCCCTGGCAGCTCTGTGCATTCTTTCCACCTATGATTTGGGAGCAGGTGGCCAGGGCTTTCCTGGGCCTCTGTTCCTTGCAGGTCGGGAGAGGCAGCTGGAGGCGGCTGCTTGGTGGGAAGGTCCCAGTCTTGCTGCACAGCCCAGTCCAGCAAGAAGCCCTGTAGTCTGAATTTTCTAACCCCTCTGGGTAAAGTTGGTGTGGTGATTGCCTTTTGGCTTCTATATCTGCTCTTCTGTAGCAAGAACCTGGGGGAGAGAGGATGGGGTAAGAGACCAGGTGGGAAATTGATGAGTGGGACTTAGAAAAGTGCTATAGGAAGGGAGCGTATGAGTTGCAGGCTCTCAGGGTGCCGCTGCCTGGTGAGGATTCCAGTGCAGAGCCATGTGCCTTCCCCCTTTCCCAGAGGTGCCCACACACGCTCTCACTGACTCCCCCTAACAAGTGTCCCCAGGAGGTGTGGTTCTAGTTTAGTCATCACCTCTATAGAAGCCAATAAACTTTGTTTTATATTTTATCATAAAGTATTTGATACATACACATATATGTATTATTTATATAAGTTGCCAAGCCTAGTAACAAAACAAAAGCTTGAGAATCTAATACCCAACTTGTGAAATATGCCATTGCCAATTTTCACAGTGCTTTCCTGGGCTGATGTTGCCATCCTGCCTCCTCTCAAGGTAACCCCTATCCTGATGGTATTTGTCACACACACACCCTTTTAAACTAGCTTTTACCACATATGTATGTATCTCCACATAGCATGTTTTGAGCTTTATAATAAATGGAATTATAGTCCTTTGAGTTTCATTTAAGTGCCACATATTGTCTTAGAAGATAAAATGCAGATCTATGCCCTCAAAACATGAATTTTCACTGGTACAAGTAAATCTTGTTTTCTCCGATGGCACCTTCCTGAGCCAGGGAGGAGGCCTGGCTGCCTCCACAGATTTGCAAAAGTGACCGTGCAGGAGACAGGCACTGGGACCAGCCAAGGAAGCCAAGTAACTAGAATGGCCATTCACAGGGGCTCCTAGGCAAGTCTCCCCAGGACACTGGTGTTCTGGGCATCCAGGAAGCAGACGGACTAGATTCTGACTCCACTGACAGACTAGGGTGAGCAAGGAGGCTGAAAGGCAGCATGCCGAATGTGGAGTTCAAAGTGCAGGCTCAGGGAGTGGATGTCGGTCAAGGATGGTTCACCACAAGCATCTAATATACTAAGCTCCAGCACCTGCATCCTTGTGCAGCCAGGTGAGTCCGTCCTGGTGCCCAAACAGAGGTTTAGAGCAGCAGAGGAAACAGCACCACCTTTCCTCTGCCTTTATCATTCAGCTGCTATTTCCTGAACAACTACTGTGTGCCAAGTGTGTGTGTGTGTGTGTGTGTGTGTGAGAGAGAGAGGGGGTGGGGTGGGAGAGGGGAGAGGGGAGAGGTTGAGATTGTGCCAGGACCAAGACAGTTACCAAGACCTTTTCCAGCTATTAAGTACTTCACGGTCCAGTAGGAAGTCGGTTGTTCTATCAGTCAGTTTTTGCTAAATTATGCTGTGGTAACAAGTGATCCCAAACATCAGTGGCTCACAAGAGCAAACATTAATTCCTTGCGCGTGTTGCCTGTTAGCTGTGGCTTAGCTTCAGCTCTGTTGCCTGTCCTCTGCCTTCTGGGTCCCCAGCAGGAGGATCAGCCCTTATCTGACACATGTCATTTTCATGGTAGAAGGAAGAGCAGGAGAGGTAATGAAACCAGGCAGTGGTTCTTAAAACATCTGCTCAAACCTGGCTTGCGTCACTCCTCATAATCCCCTGAGAGTGAATCAGGTAGTCAGGACTGAGGCCACCAGGGAAGGGAAGTCCAGTTGCCAGAGGGCCGTGCTGTGCTGTAGGACACAGGGCAGTGAGCAAAGTGCAGATTCTTCTTTCAGGGAGGCCAGAGATGTTTGGGAGAAGTATTACAGTCTATCACAGAGAGAAATAGGCAATGACAGTAGCAGTATGATAAGGCTTTATGGTAAGTAAATGTAATAAGTTTTGACTTTATAAAATAAATTTTTATATAAAAATATATAGTTTCCCCTAAATTAGCTTTAGGGATTCTGTCGACAGGATCGTTTGGGAACCACTAGTCTGAAACTGATGGTTGTTCCAGAGAGCTGGCCCCGGGGAGAAGGAGGAGGCGAGGCTGGCCGCAGTGTCTTCACGCTGGCCCCCGGCACGTGGACACACGCCGTGCTATTTAAAACAAAGCCACTTCGTGTGGCAACTCACCTGCCACCTTCCAGCATTCCTGTTGGCTTTTCTTTCGTCCGTTGGGGCTGTCTCCAGGTCTGTCCGTCCCCACAGATCTCTTTCCTGCTGCCTCCCCACACAGGTACACATCTCGTCTCACCTCCGTCACATCCACACGGCATTCGTTTTTGCTTCCTCGTTAAGTCAGTCAGTGTTTGAGGCCTGGACCACAGCTTCCCCTACACCTCCTGCCACCATACCTCCTGCTACCACACCGGGCATATATCGGACCCCTGACAAACATGTACAAAAGGGAGTTTTGCATGAAGAGGAAGCTGGCACCCTAGAGGCCTGTCTGTCGCTCTGTCTCTGCAAGGGTGGGCAGTGGCTGTGTGGTGATAGTTGGAGTTACACAAGCGTGACTTTGGTGCATTTAAGACCAGGTGAAAAGCTCTCTCTCCCTTGGTTTGTACTCGCTATGGGGCCCAAATAGCTTGTCCTCTCACAATGAGCCTTTTCATCTGTACTCGTGTGGCTGCCTTTGCGAACGCTGGTGGCCTTTTCCAAAGATACGCATTAGTGTTTTCCAAGGGCAAGGGCCGTATCGCCTCTTTTCTTTCTGTTGAAAGATTCCCCATGGCACCTGATAAGAGCTGCACACACAGGGGGTAAAATTTGCCTATCGCCTCTTCCTTTGAAACTGCACCGGATACAGACATGGTCCTGGACCCATGGGCCTTCGCAGAAGACTGATTACACATAGGCCTTGATTTTGATAATTTTATATTAAAAAAGGAGTGAACTCTCAGACAACCCAGACTCAGGCCAATAGTAACACATAGTAGAGTGCAGGCTGGCTGTTCTCTCAAGCCTGCCCACGTGACACAGACAGTGACACGGGACCATGAAGTCCTTAGCCTTGGAGTCAGACGTGGCCATAAATTCTGGCTCCACCCCTTATGAGCTTCATGATCTTCCACACATTATTTCACTTCTCCAAGTCTCTGTTTGTTTTTCCATAGCGAAGGAATAATAAAATGACTACTAATTGTCGTGGCCTTTTGCACCTATGAGTAACATCCCTCTTTCCTGCTTGTGTACTGAATCAGTTGACACTTAAGAGTAAAGAGCTGGCGGAAAGTGACCCAGACACTAGCATTGTTACTGAGGGGGGGTTGACAAGAGGATAAGTGGCTTTGGGCTTCAGTAGTGAATCTGAGAGTTAGGTGGATGCTCCCACCAGTCACAGGACTAGTTAGACAACCACAGGGGGTATCCTCCGGGGGTAAAGACTGTGTACACTCAGGTTGTAGACGTTGAAGCAAAAGCCCTCACTCCTCGCTTGTTCCCAAGGGGAAGCACCGGGCCTCACACATCCCAGCCAAACTTACTAGATAGATAGATACTCTTTTCCCCGGGAAGAGC